GATCAAGGATTTTAAATGCAAGACTTTGAATTGCAAGTGAGTATTTTTGAATAGTGTTGCTGGTTCTTTGGTAAAGAATCTTTCACCACTACACCAACACATCTTCCACCGCTGGCAAACACACTAGTGGAGTCCTCTTTCAATCACTGTCGGCTCAGTGCCAAAGAGAAAACACTGCCGTGGAATCAAGTAGCCTCTCCTGTGACACGATCCGTGTTGTGGCCGCAACTCAGGACCTTCACACTGACTCAACGAGACAAAATTCCTTTGGAGCCATACCACACAAAAAATGCAATGAGACTCCACCTAAAGTGTGTTTATATTTAGCTCTGACTCATAGTTGAATGCCGTGGATAAAAAAAAACAAAAAAAAAACATCAAACATTAAAATGCCGGTGTAATCAGACCAGAGCTGAAGTGAGTGAAGAGGTCAGTTGACCATGACTCTCGGTGACTATGTGCCTGGCTCGCAGCTGGGAATGAATGGGAGCATGGCATGCAGGAAGAGGGAGTAAACAACCTTCCTCGTCTTTTTGCTGTCTGGATGGACTTCCAGTGAACTGGCCTCCGCTCTCTGCCTTCCTTCCTCTCCCCCTCCTTCCTCCATTTCCTCTCTCTGTTGTTGAGAGCTCCTTTTCTAAAAGACCCCCGATCACTTCATGTCACTGCACTTTGCCCCAGTTTGGTGGTCTTCGCCAGATTGATGCCTGACATGTTGCCAAAGCAGTTTTAACAGTGGCTGATATGAGGGATTGGACACAGAAACAGCCGGAGCATTAATCCATTCTTTTCTATTCACTGCACCTACACATTTTGTTTGTCTTTTTTGCCTTTCAGTGTAACTTGTTTTCATTGTTCAGTCAAATTAATGTTCAAGGAAAACCCTTTTCTTGCTTTTCTTCTCTGTCTCTGTCTCAGTGTGATGACACAGTCCCAGTGTGGTCAGTACCAGTTTACACAGCTGGGAAGCCAAAGCTGTCTAAACTCTGACAACACACACACACACACACACACACACACACACTTTTATACACACTACACACTCAAGATCCCCTCAATCTGGGTCAATACAAACATAACCTCTAACAACACAATAGTAAATACTGTATAACTGAGTAGGATCTTATGCTGATACATGAGATTAAAAAAAACTGTTGTGGAAGAAGAATCCAGATCCTTTCAAAGTAAAAGATGCAATGTTTAATGAAAAAAATGTAGTGGAGTAAAAAGTACATCTGCTCCTGAAAGATGGTATACGTAGAAGTATATGGTAGTATAAAATGGAAATACTCAAGTAAAGTATAAGTACTAGACTAAATGTACTTTATAACTTTCCACTGCTGAAAACAAATCCCAACAGCTGGACTAAAACAGATGGTAAATGACGGCATAATGTTCCAGATTATACAAATAACATTTCTCATAAATTGAGCTGTTGCTTTTATTAGATGACACGCTACAAAAAGCTTTTCGTGTCAGTTTTCACAACTCCACACTGCTCTCTGCTGGTTACCATAGGAAACACAAACACACACAATGAACTCAAAAAATGATTTCTTTGTTTTTTTCTTTCTTCTCGCTCGATCCATGACAGGGATTATTTTAGAGGATTAAGCATGAAGTGAACACAAATCACTTCAGATTATTCGATTGTTTGTTTAAGATTACACTCCCGTCTTTTCTTTGAATGAGAGTTTGGCACACACACACACACACACACACACACACTCACACACACACTCTTTCACTTAGTGAGCAGAGAGGAGCTCTGGTTGACACTGAGCAGTTACTCATTATCAGTGTGAGGAAGAGAACAAGATTGCTGATATAGTGAAAAGAAAAACAAAAGGGGAGAACTGTGGATGTTTCAAGAACAATGTTTTCTTTTCTCCATTTCCTTCTTCTTTTTGGTTCCTCAGTCTTTTCAAACACGCACGTGTGCATGCATGTGGGGATTATGTACGTGGTTAAATGTGCGTGTGTGTGTGAGAGACCCCTCTCTGTCAAAAGGACACGGCCTTACAGCAGCACTGTTAGTCACCGGCCTCAGCATCACTGACTCATATCGCCCACTTACGCAACGATATCTCCTTGTTGCATAAAGAATCATCAAGTATTGCGATCGTTGCCAGTAACACAAACAAATCACCGACTGTTCCCTTTGATGACTAAGAATTTAGCATAAACACTTTATTTTTTTAAGATATGCAAATTGAACTGATATAGAAATCCCATTTCTAAACTAAAGAAAACAAGGTCGAAATTGGTTTGCTCTATTTGCATCGCACTAACTAGATGGTTATGCATGCTCTACCACAAACTGGGAGTTGGGACCCCCCAACTGGTTGCAAGACGTTAACTTGACAGGGAAGCAGAAACAGTTTTTATGATACTCAACTATAACAGGGGAAATATCACTCTTTAGTTGATCATAACTCACATGATTGTTTGCAGGATGTCATCTTCAGTCTGTGATGTGGAGCAGCGGGACAGCAGGTGGATGCCACTCTGTCCTGCACTGTGTCCATCTGGCTCCAAAAGGCAGAGGGCTCTGCTGCAGAGTGACCGAGCTCTGCGAATCAAACTGTGCTGTTGTCTGGTTTTACATTGACTCCTGTGACCCATCAGATTGTTTGACATGATTGTAGGATTTCAGCAATATTAACACTGCAAAATGCATGCTGTATTTAGATAGGTGTCCTGACCCCATTCAAGTTTATTTTTTGTCCCTCGTCCAAATTGAGGATCTGATCGAGTTGTACATATTGGAAATTTCTGAGGCAAAGGTGATTTGTGATAAAAGAGTACTTATAAATGTGGCTTTTGCAACCATTGTGCTAATATGAAGGCATGTAGCAAATCAGTGACTTTAAGACTAATAAAGTGTATGACATAAAAACATTAATTAAAGACTCTCTGAGCATAAATTTGAATCAGAAAACCTAATTTGGATTAGCCTACGGCGAAGCACTTCTAAAGTACCGAACACCAATCCACACAGCTTTATGGTTGAAGGCCTAGAATCCATCAAAAAGAGCATACGAGGAGGTGATCGACTGGAACTCTTTTAATACACCAGGCCACAGCTTACCCAAGACTTAATACAGACATTGATTTCAGTCCTTATTTGTCGTTGCTCTGAGGCATGTGGTCCGGTGCTGTTTCTGTAAATGTTATAATATTTTCTTAGAATTTTCTTTTTCTTTCTTCTTTTCTTGTCTGTTTCTTATTTTGTTCTCATAATTTGTTCCTACTTTCAGACAACCTGTAGAGCCCCCTGGTGGTTATATGTTGCATTTGACATGCACCAGCATTGTCTATGCTTTTAGAAGTTCACCATGAAATAGCCATCTGACTAAAGGCTTTTTAACCTACTGCCAGAAGAGTGCCTCGGACCTTTCATCATCAAGCAAAACTGGCTTAACTTGACCCCATATCATTTAGCCAGGGTCACACATATATGATAGTGATTCCCAGTTGCCGTCACCAATTTTTTGAAACCTTTTTTTTCCCATAGATGTTCCTTTAGTGTGAAATAATTTGAAAATGTAACGTATGTGGGCTCAACCTGCAACGAGGTAGACCTGTATCAACCTGAGAACTAACTGACACTGACTGTGGTTGGTTGTGTTTTGCTGCCAGCCAATGCTTGTGGTTCAGAGGTTTGATTGACAGCAGGTGTGTCTGGATGTGCCAGAATCATTAAAGGGGCGCTCACTCTTCTAGGGTTCTCTGCATGCTGGCTGGTTCTGCTCCGGATGCTGAGGTCTAAAGGCAGAGTGGGCCTTCCTGCTGAAGTGTGTTGCCAGCTTAGTTCATGATTTTGGTTCAGAGGCGATTGCCATGTGGCAGCGTGTAAAGCTGTCAACTGACTGTGAGGAAGCAAGCAACCTGTGAAACAGCGGGCCTTCAGCCTCGGAGAAGTGGGTTGACAGTGAGGTCTTGGGCTGTTCATACTTACCATAGAAATACAGAATATGAGCTGAGAGATTTGTATGCAAGTGTGGATGTGCATACAGAAAAACCTGTTTTTGTCATTTAAGTGCACTAACTGGCCTCTGAACAAAAGGTTTCATATTATATTATGTGTATTACTTGACAGGCCTTAAAAAAGCAAACGCGGCACAATCTGGTTGTCATTCCACTCATGACCAGCAGACAGCAGCGTAATCCCTCTCTTGTGGCTGTGCAGCATCCAAAAATAGAGATCAAACCTGTAAATGAGGATTCTTATAAAGGAACTAACTTCTCGGCATGACAGTGATATTAGGTGTGGTCTGGTCAGTGTTGCATGAAGCGAGTTTAGCAGTTAGTGCCAAGTTTTGATCTGATCAAACCGGTTCTCTCTCACACCTCAACCCGACTGCAGGATATTCATCTTCAAATAGATCTCTGAATAGTCCTCTTCACCCTTCCTCCATTCCTCTCGTTTTCCCTCCCATGCCCTTCCTCACCCCATCATCTATAACCACCACCACCTGTACCCCCAGCGCCCCACCCTCCTCTCAGTCCAATCCCACAGCAGACAGAAACTATAAAACAGCGAGCAGAATTTCACTCAGCCTGTGAACAGTGGGAGCCAAAACACCCACTGAGCGTCATCACCGTTCAAACCTTGAATTTATTGGGAGCTTGCAGCCTCTTTCATGTTTTACCACCATTTCACGAAATGCCAGGACGCTAATTTTCAGCGAGGTTTAAGGGAGGAAACTTCTTCCATTCTAGGAGATATTAGACAGTTGTGTGAACAGTTGCAGCAAGGTCAGACTTGCTATTCAACCGATTAAACAATACTATGCAATACTTAATGGAGGCTCTATTCCAGACAGATAAAGAGAGCAGTGTGTTGAGCTGTCATAGGTTTGAATCTCTTCTTTTCACTTGCTGTCTCCAAACTCTCTGCAATAACACTAATCCAAGAATGAACCAAACTTCTGTCAGATGATAAGATGACATCTGTCAGTTTACGCTGCAATCAAGAGTGAGTGAAAACACGTAAACAGTGAAGACGTTTTATTGGTTCAGCCCGGCACCACGTCTGAACGAAGAACAGCCTGTGTTGAGGACATGAATAATTCAGTTTATCCCAAAACATTTTCAACAGGTCTAAACAGAGCAGGGGTCTGAAGTGGACATGACTGCATATATTGTACATCCTGCAGGCTACGTGTAATGTATGACTGAGGCTCTGAAACGCTAACTAGCAGGACCAGCCCGCTGTGCAAGTGAGATATCTGCAACGACGGAAACACTGAGCCTAATAACATCCGCTATTGTCCTGCTGCTTGGTAAAGAAGGGCTGCACTCCCCCTCAGAATGTGAGTGTGTGTGAGTGTGTGTGTGTGTGTGTGTGTGTGTGAGTGAGAGAGGGACATCATCTGAGGTAGTGTCACTCTTGGGAACGGTATGTCAGCCTCCCTCCTCCCACATATGTTCAGTTCTGTAAACACATCCATATGTAAACTCACACACGCACACTTACGAGTTGTTTTCAGACAGCTTCTTTTATTCTTTTGCTGTCCATAAAAAAACAACAACAAATCTGTTCTTTTTAAATAACAATAATCTTCCAAAACAACATTAAAATTGATTTGCGAGAATGATATTTTTTTTTCTTTCAAATTATGCTAGCTGTCTTCCATGTGTTGCGAAAGTTTTTTTTTCGCGGGCTGTAACTGTCTCCACATGCCCGGAGGAGGGACATAGGGAATAAATAAAGCTTTTGTCAAAGGCCTGCTGGCCCAGTTTCTCCTCTTCTTCCTCTCCTCAGTGTCCCTTCATCAGGCAGCAGAGTGGATTGACATCTTCACTCGGGTTTTATCCACTTGGACACCAGTGTGTATGTATGTGCGTGTATAAGTGAATGAATGTACAGGATGTCAGCTTATAGCTCAAGTGTAATTTTTCACGAGTCTCTCTCTCTGAGCGTCAGATCATCAGAGTTCGTCCCGCGAGGCTCGAGCTGCAGGAGGCGGCGACTCTCCAGAGACGCTGTTCTGCGCCACGGTGCGGATGCTGCCCTGCTGGGCCGTCTTGCGGGGGTGCTGCCGGTCCCAGTCTGTGGCCACGGCCTCGTCGTCCCAGATGGTGGAGGTCTCCGTGTCGCTGATGTAGCCTGGCTCTCCGGTGTAGTGGGTGGGATAGATAAGCAGCGGCTCCGTGGAGAAGGCCTTCAGGTCCCGCGGCTCAAAGTGAGACATGAACGCAGTGCTGAGGAGGATCAGGGACACAAGGCGGGAGAGGGACGAAGAAGTGATTAGTGTGTATATATATATATATATCCCAAAGTGATGTCTTGTGCTGTCCATGTTGACATCCAGAAATGCGATGCCAGTACTTTGTTATGTCTCTGACAGCTTTGTACCAAAGTGAAGAGAAAGGAAGGACTATTATGCTACACTGACTCATATCTTTTTAACTGTCCATACTCAATGTACCGGATTTGAATTTCGCCAGACAGCAGATTTACAGGACATCATATAGAGGAACAGGATACCCTCCTTTCTGCAGCACAATTTAGTCATGACAGGAATGTTTTTTTTTTTATCTCTTGGTACACAATCACATGCTTCATATCAACAGTGGAAGAAGGTGGAAGAATTCAGTCTTTAGAGCCAGTTGAAACTTCTTTAGAACAGTGCTTCATATGTTGTATGTTGAAAGGTAACTAGGGTCTATAAGCTGTCAGATAAATGTAGTAGAATGAACACCACATTATTTCCCCATTCAATTTCAATGGAGAGTTAATCTGCTGTTCGTTTCAGTCATTTTTCGAGCATAAAAAACGCTCAATAATGATCTATTTAATCCCAGCATTTCAAAATCCTCTTCACGTCATCCTATTGTGTCAAACTAAAAACAACACAAAGCTCTACTATCAGCCTGTCATCGCCAGCCTGCAGCTGGGCCAGAGGGAGGAATAAAGGATGTTTGGCCGTCCAATCGCCTGTTTAAAGCCCGTCTGCACTCCATGAGGTCAGGGAAACCCAGACACCTTTATTACACTACAAGCAAATGCAATGAGGCCTTCTTCACTGGGCTTACTGTCTTGTAATTCTCTGCCCTTTAGAGCACAAACTGTCTCAGCATACGGCCTTCCTCTCCCTAAAAACAACACGTGTGACATAATCGCCTTAATTTAAACAGAGCACACAATCCCCTGCTGTTCATTTGTGTAACAAACACATTTTACATATTTTCCCAGCATTTCTGTCCATATTTCTAATTTCTTTCACTTTTGAACAAACTCACCTTCTCTCACTGTTTACCTAGTAATCTACACACACATCTCCATGTATTTATATAGTCTCACTCACACACACACACACACACACACACACACACACACACACACACACACACACACACACACACACACACACACACACACACACACACACACACACCTCTCTACCCCACCCCCATGCTCAAACCTCTATCAATGGGAATCCTGTCCCCTTTTCCAACCAGCAGGAAGAGCCGCTGGCCCACATTCCTCAGAGAGAGAGGGGGAGAGGGGGAAGGGGGAGGAGAGGTGGGTGACACAGGGAGGGAGAAGGTGTGTAAAGAAAGTAAAGGTCTGTTGAGGGGAGTGAGGGAATGTTAAAAGAAATGAAAAATAAAGAAACAGAAATGAAGAATGAGAAGAGAGCCAAGAAAGACAGAGGGGCTGATTTAAAAGGATGAGAACATAAAGTAAAAGGGAAGGAGATGAGGCGGAGGTGGAACGGGGCATGGCAGGAATCCCCGAGCAGAAAAGAAAGAGAAAAGCAGGCATTGTGTGTGCGCTGTGCAAAGCCCCGTACCCACTGAACCCAAAGAACAATCCATGCCCTGTGTGTGAGGGAGCACAGAAGAAGAAGAAGAAGAAGAAGAAGAAGCAGTGTGGGTGGTGCTGGAAAGAAAAAGGGACATAATCAAGGAAGGAGGGAAAGAAAAAGGACATATAGGGAACAAAACTTGGAGTTGAACTGGATGGAGGTTGTGGTCTACCACACGAGAACAAAACTACACCACTGTCTAAAAAGTCGCCAACAAGCACGCGTGTTTGTGTCTATGTATAGATAATTACCATACAGTAGGTCCTTCACTATTTCTGCGCTGGTTTATTGCCCTCGAGTCTGTTTTGGGGCACGCACTGGATCCATGCACGCCTGGCTGTGTTCTATAAATAAAGCTTTTGCATCTTCGTCTTTATTCTGAAAGTGGATTACCTGATATAGAGTGCGCACCTGCGCTCATCTATTTGTGGTCCTCTGTAAATATTTGTCTCTTCATAAACCAGAATGCTAAAAAGGTAGTTTGAACATTTGTGATCTTCTCGTAGCTTTGCGGGTTTTTTTTGCATTACATGCCTCAAATACAACTTCATGCCTTCGTATAGCATGCACACCTTGTTCCTGTTGCGTAAAGTGAAGCACTGTAATTTAAAAATCACAGAAAAAAACCGAAGTAAAGACTGACTTTGGGTGTTTGTTGAACATGACGGGCAGGAACTCGTCGACAGGCAGCATCCTTGTGAAGGGTTTGGCAGCCAGCAGCTTCCTGGCTCCTTGCTGCGACAGCGCGTAGCCGAGCGTCCAGTAGGAGTAGTCGGCCTTGACCAGGTTGTTCACACCGTCCACGGACTGCTCCGGCTGCTGCACCTGCATGCGCTTACGCCCCACGTAGCTGGAGCGGAGACAGAAAGCAAACCTTTAGTTTTAAAACATTCATTAAGAAAAATGAATGAATTACCGCCACAAGGTGCAGCCAAAGGGATACTTGCCTACCCGTTATTTCCACGCTCCTACAACCTCATGGTTATATGCCTCCGCAAACCAGTCAAGTTTGTACATCATATCCATGTCTGTCCAGAATACCATCACTTCATAATGTTATCCTTATCCATAACTTGTGTATTTTCCCTGTGTTTCCTTGTGCATCACCTTCCCCGTGTTCTCCGTTTGTCTCTCTGTGTTTGTTTTGTCTGTGTTTGCTGGCATGGCCGTGGTCTTCCTTGCTCATTTCCCCCGGCTCTGCTCATCACATTCACCTGTTTGCAATCAGCTAATCAAGCTCACCTGGCTCTTATGAGTTCACACATGCTGTATATCTACTCCCGCTTTCCAACCACTAGTCACCAGATTGTGGATTGTTGTGCACAACGCCAGGCCAAACTCAGTATCGGTGCTTCCCAGTGTTTTCTTGAGTTCTGACCTTTTTTTTTTTTTTTTGTCTTCCTGTGCCTCAGAAAAACCTGGCTGACAGCTACGCCAACTTCCCACGCTGTCTTCTTTATCTGCCCATGCCAGCTTCATCACTGTCTCTGTGTCCTGCGCTTGGGTTCTACTCCTGTTCTCAGCAATAATTAGCACAGCCATTCTTAAATTATGGCCAAAAATGAGTTGTGTGAGGTCACGGTGACCTTTGAACACCAAATTCTATTCAGTTCATCCTTAAGTGGACGTGTGTGCTATATGTAATGAAATTCCCTCCAGGCGTTCCTTAGATATATAACCCGAAAACACAATGCCTGCGGCCACAGCTGTCATTGACATGGAGGCATAAACACTCCGAGCGTGTGTGTGTGTGTGTGGATGGGTGTGTGTTTTCTTACATGAGGTCCCAGTCCAGCTGGGTTTTGTCTATGTCATCTACGATGGCCTGGAGCCGTCGTTTGAACCTGGGTTCAAACCGCACGTCGTCCTCTAAAAGAAGAACCCTCTTGAGGCCGCGCTCCAACACCTGAGGGGAAGAAAACACAAACACTTGAAATGAAAGAATAACAGCTGAGGTTTTTGCCAGCTGTCCAGATTGTCCCTTTTTTCTTTACATTATTCCTGCTGATGATTGTGCTGTGTTATTTATCTTATCTATAATATGCATTGCAAAATTACAACAAGGAATACAAACTAGAAGTGGGGAGACACACTCTATTGAACTACACAACCCTTATTCCCCATATTAGTGAATTGCTCTCACCTGTGTCCATATGGAGTGATGGCTGAGGAAGCAACCGATCTCCCCTCTGGTCAGTACTCGGCCTGAGTAAGGGTCCTTGTAGCCCGGCATCATCTCTATTCCTAGAGCCTGTAGCTGGGACGTATTGAGAGCCCTGAGAGAGATGGAGAAGGGAAATGTAGGAGCAGTAGTGGGAAAAGAAAGGTATTCACATATGCAGCTGAGTCTGTCATCAGTGAAAACAGCTTCACTGCAAAACACAACGAAGTCAAACTCAACAAGTTGCAGCAAATAATACATTTTGTCAGACAAACAACGTCTGGAAGAAGGATTAGGACATTCTCAACGGTGGATTAAAGTAAGCGCAGAGGAGGGAAAGTAAGTCGAGGCTTTTGCTACAAACATCAAAGCTTCGTTTAGACAGGAGGTCTGGATATAGATGTCAGAAAGAAGCAGCGACAGACGGAAGAGACGGGACATTGTCTTAGCTGACGTTCAGGGAGCACAGTTAAAGGAGATCGCGTGTTTCAGGTGGAAAAACCTTTCGCCTTCAGCTCAGTTCATCGTGTGCATGCGGCGCTGTGTGACCTACTTTCCGTCAACCGCGTCGATCAGCGTGACATGTAGACCCAGCGAAGACATCGTTTTCAACATCCTGGTTCTTCTGTCCAGCCGACGCTTCAGGTTGACCAGATAAATCTAGACATTTTAACAGAAATAAAAGGACAGTCATTGAAGAGAAAACCTTTTAATTAGCTCTGAAACCTCGTTCTGTAAGTATATTCCGAAGCATAATGCAACAGAAGTTATGGGTCAGAGAGGTATGTGGTGAAGGAAAAGGCAAATAGAGAAGAAAAACTTGGAGACACAACGAAAGGCTACAAAAACAGGAAGTGGGAGTTGCTGATTAACAGTAAATATACAGAGAGAGAGAAGTTGGAGAGCCCCCGTTCCTCCAGGCAGAGCTCGTAACTCACCTTATCGAAGCCCACGGTGTCCTGCGGGGATGGCAGAGAGGACAGGTGCCCAGAGGGCTCGATGTCGTGGTCAACTGTTGACAGAGCGAGGACGGAGGGAGAAAGGTTAAGACAGCAAAAACAGGATGAGAAAATAACCAAACTTCCTCTGGATTCTGGCGGTTTATTTAATTTGCTCTATTTCAAATCTGAGCAGTGAGGGACGCCAAAAGGAGGGAGAAAGTGTGTGGGGGGGGGGGGGGGGGGGGGGGGAGTAGAATAAACAGAGAGAGGGAGGAGGAGAGGGAGAGACGGTACGGAGGAGAGAGGGACGAGGAGAGGGTTTAGAGCAAAGGGATGAGGGGTTGACAGGTTGTTATCACGGCGGGTCGCAGAGGTCAAGAAGGAGAAGAAACAAACCTGGGAGGTGAAGTAATCAAGGCGTGATGGATAGCAAAGCCACAACAGCTGGAAAGTGTTTGTGTGTTTGAACTCACTTAAAGCCTCCGTGATGGTGTGTATGAAACTCTCGCTCTCTTCTTCCACACTCTGCTGCGCTTTAAGAGGGACGGGCAGGAGGCCGTAATGTTCTCTGTTACACACGTACATCTGCACACCTGGAACACGAACACAAACACACACGGTAAATAAAACCTGTTGGCCCAAATATTTCAAACAAACATAGAAATTAGATCCCCCTCAGGTCCTCATACCTCGTCCCACATGCACTAGTGTCACACTAATGTCTGCACGCTACACAAAAGCAAATAAATACTCCCACAGCAAAAATAAACTGACGGGTGGAGGCTCCTTTAAGTGTTGTTGTTAAAGCATAAAGCTTATCCAGTAAATGAAGGATGAATATGGTTACATAGACTGTATGGACAATGTTCAACACAGTGGGAAACAAAGTATTGGATGCTTTGTGAGGGATGAAATACAAAGTGTTGCCCTCTGTAGACACCAAGATGTAGACTACACACATTTAGAGATGAACTATATCAGTGTGTCTGTCCATCAAAACGGTCCCCTCTTTTTACAGCATGTGTTGCAGTAAGAGGTTTCAATTATTGAGTATATTGCATTTATTAAATTGTAAGAAATATGTATTGCTTCATTCCTTCATTTGATTGTGTTTCAATTGATGAAAAATTGCATTTATTGCAAGATTCCTACTTTTTACATTTCAGTTTAGTTAGTTTTAGCATAGTATGGTTTCAAATATGTTTGTTTAAAGCCTGCGTAAGTGTTACTGAGAAGTAAATTTATTCACAAGTGACATAATAGCGAACGCTAAAGTGTAGTGCAACAGAAACAAAAGAAGAGACGCTTCATAACGTCACAGTACGGACTTTAGCCACCATGAGCTATCGGTAATACCAGGACAAGCCAGGCTAAAGAATTGAGCAAGTCTGTGGGCGTTTTATTGCTCATGAATCTGACATTTTATTTGGAAGAAGAAGAATGCATTCAAAAGTGAAATATTCTTATTTTAATGCTGTATATTTACATGATGTGCTATTATGCATTGTTGTAAGTCGGCTCTTTGTTTGCATATCTGTTTATGTTTATGTGAATGCTTTAATGTTTGCTTTTCAGTTTGTAGGGGAATGCCACACACACACACACACACACACACACTCTTGTCTTCTACGTAATGGAACTCTTAATGGCTCGGTTTGTTCCCTCTGGAGGATTACTCACGACAAACACACAAATCTACAAACACTGGTATTGTTGCACAATCGAAACAAACACATGGATCCATTTTTCTCTGCATTCACTCATCTGCTCGAATCTGACACATGTGCATAAAAACAGTAAAAAAAAAGCCCCAGTTTGCAATAGACTACCGATAAATCAAAGAAGTCACAGACAGTCCTCAATGTAGCAGCCCTGCTACAAATGTGGTAGTTTGTTGCGAGTTGAGTTTTTCAAAACGGACCTGCTTGACGAGCCGAGAAAGCAAACACCATGATGTCATCAAATGCCCAGCTGTAGTCCGAGTGAGGAGGGTAGAAGGTCAGGCTCCTGCTGGATTCACGACGCAGGTCTATTAAGAAGGTGCTGTGCACCATGGGAACAGCGTAACAGCCGAGCCGCTTCCACTCCCGGATGGGCTGGTAGTCTGGGGTTCGCTTGTAGTAACCCTGACAGAGAGGAGGGGGGGGGAGATGAAGAGCACCGAGGTTCAGGGGGATGAATCTAGCCGAGCGGATGGACAGGCGTAGGAGTTAAAGTCTCAAACTGTACCTGTGGGGTGATGCCGCACCAGAAGTTGGAGTAGAGCGAGCGAGACTCTAACATGGGAGCAGCCAGGGTCAGGTTTTCAGCCATCAGCAGGTTCAGCACGCGGGGGTTGGTCAACAGGTTGTCACTGTCGACAAACTGAAGAGGGGGAGAGGGGCCGAGTGTACAAGTCACTCGTCATATCGTGTAAAAGCTGAAGCTAAATTGGAGAGACTTGTGGTTTATCTCTAACAAATCATCAGCGGTTTCATTCATGATTCACAATCACTGTGACTGTTTTTATTGGTATTTTATTTATTGCTTATTTCATTAAGTTGCTGAATTGCTTTTGTCTTTTCTGTTTGTTTCATTGTCCACACCGTCATATTTTTTTGCTCGTCAGTCATCTGTGAAGTACTTTGAACTGCACTAACCTGTATGAAACGTGCCGTAGAAATAAAGTTTGATGGATTGATTTTTACCGGACACTTTGTGTGACTATTACTTCACCAATGCTGTTTGCTGACGCAGCTCCCTCAACCGTACCAACCTCCTCCTTATGTGCTACACTTTTGGTGTTTGTTGGACTAAAACTATGTGTCGATTACAACTCTCCCGGCAGAATCTTTGTTGCTGGTCGAATTGCTCAAGAGCTCCCTCACAGAGCCGAACCTTTTCTACGAAATTAAACCGTATAAGCTTTTGCTATATAAATAGTATCGAAGTCGTACTAGTATGTAGTCGGCCCATCGTTCCCTGGCAGCCTTTAGCGCCGCCTGTCTCAGCTTCATCACATGGTTGAACCTTGAAGGAGGCCAGTGCTTCGGCCCCCACTCATCTGTGTAGGACCTGATATAAAAGATACAAGGGAGGTAATGGGTCGTCACCATTTCATTATGTGAGGAAAAAATTGATGTTAATGAATGATTGCTCACTTGGGCTCCTCCATGGGTCTCCACTCCACGTAGTGGTAGACGCTCTGGGCTCCCTTCAGCCATTCTCTCAGCATAGCAGTGGTGTTGTCCCCATTATGATCCGTCGCTGCCCTGAAACACCAACGGAGACAACACGGGGCGTCACGCGAATGAAGCACACTCTTCAAACTAGCGCATCTGCTAAATGGCATGTCAAGACCGTTTCTGGGAATGAGACCGTTTGGAAAAATGAGAAGCTGAGTCAAACATGAAGCAGAATTCTGAGTCATGACATTCAGACAGCATGTTACAGTAGGAGATGTCCAGGCTTCCAAATTTATCCAATTACTCTCTTGATGTCACAACAGGCAGCCTCAGTGTTTCAACGCTTCCTCACTGCCTAATTAACTGCTGCTGGAGTCTGAGGAGCCACAGTGCTGACAGACGTCGGCTCTGAGGAACTCTGGGTAAAAAAATAGCGAAGGCAGGTATACGGCCACGATGACGTCCATCAAATTAACTCGCCCTGAGGTTTGTATTTTTTATTTAATCTGAATGCGAATATTGATGCACTGTGTCTCAACAACTCTACACAGAAATATTGGACAGACAGAGACAGAATAGCAGTATGTAAGCAAATGATGTCAGTGTGAAAGTTGCTGCTGCTGTTTATTTGTCACTCGTGCGGTTTGCACTCTACGGAGCTGTTTCGTAACTGAAAGATTTCCACTCCAGCTCTCAAAGCGGACTCACAGAAGACACTGCGACTACTGTAGGTGTGAGTGTGTACATATAAATCTGTGCAAGAGAAATTAAAACAGCAACTGTACCACTGTGCAGTTCCGTATCACTATATGAGTTTCAGAAAAACAAACAGCGCCCGGCTTTGCATTTAAATTGCCCTTTAAAAAGGAAAGGCTGAAGCTTGTACTTGAATGCGCACACACACACACACACACACACACACAGATGGAGTTTTCCCACTGCTTGCTGTAATATTTCTCGCTGTCCTCCATCCAAAATCATACCCAATTTTAGACTGGCTGGACAGAGATAGAAACGCACACACTTGCAGTATGATAACATTTACGCACAATTTGCATTTCAGAAACACCTGTTTTCACACGGACATGCACACAGATGCTTATACCACCGGAAAAACTACACACATGTAAAAATCACACATAGACATGCACAGTCTTGCTTTGCACACGTGGATTAGTCGGAGAAGAGGCAGAGCCCTCTCGGGTTTGGAATTTCAATAATCTTCAGTCAGACAGATAAATGTCATCACACATAACCAGCAGCTGTGGAGGAGCGGTGAGCCTGAAGGAGACACAGCGGTTAATAATTTGAATAGCATATGTGTGTGTGAGTGTGTGAGTGTGCATGCCTACACTTGCCGATGTGGGACAAAACATAAGGATGTTCATTTTTGTGTCCTGGGAATGTTGTTTTTACAGCAGTGTGGATGGTGATTTATCGGTTGCAGAAGTGGTAGTTTACCTTTTTAAATGTATGTAATAATGGGGGAAGCTGCCGCTTGATGATCGGCTTTTGTTTTTTGTTTTTTTTGTCAGCGTAGGCTAAAGAAACACTGGAACACCTGACTTGCAGGTAATGAGTACATGTGCACACACATTAAACATGTTCTTTCAACCGCTAAACTGCACATCGCTGGGGGAAATAAATGTGTTTCTACACGCCATCTTCCAATGACAGAGTCAGCTCCAGGCAGAGATTTAACAGGAGGGAAATACATACATACATACATACATACATACATACATATATATATATATATATATATATATGTATGTATATATATATATACACAGTATATATAACAATGAGGAGGGAGAAGGGGTGAAAAAGAGCATGTGTTTGAATCACTTTATTTTACTGCTAAAACTAAAATGTTATCGCCAATAAAGATCGTTTTTGGTGAATTTCTCAAAGAGCTCATTAAAATCCCTCTAAAATTAATGACCAGACTAAATTTGTTTTGCAAATATCACATTAAAATGCTAATGATGCATTTTCTTTGGCTCACAAAAAGTGGAAGGAATATAAAATCTCAGAAGAGTCCCTTTTATACTTTCACAAGCTCTTGTTGGCAGGACATATTACTCATGTGTCCTGGCAATCAGTCGGTGAAGGTTGAAGGTCTACAAAAGAATAGAAAGCTCCATGATCTCGACTGAACAATTACTTCCATATAAAAAGAAGCAGATTTTGCCACTAAAAGAGAAGCAGTAACCCAATTGTGTTCTGGAGATTATCAGGCTAAAATGTAACTAGACATATCTATCTATTGAGGATGACGTGTAACATCTTTAATGTTCCTGCAAGCTCTCACTCTGTACACACACACACGTATTGCAAAGAGAGCGAAACAAAGAACGGCTTCCGTTCATTCGTCCGCTACATGTTTGATCAGGCAAAGAAAACCGCATCGAGTAAAATTCATCTTTGCCTCAAGATGTGCCTCATTTTGCGCTTCCCATCACGTCTATGGAGTCCTCCTCTCCTCAATTTCCTTTCATTTTAGATAGGCTTGTCTTTCTTCCTCTACCTTCAGGCGAGATAACCCACCGCAGATGAACTGTACTGTGCTGTGACCTCGTTGCCAAAGAGGCTTCGCAGTTTCCTGCCAAATACTTCAGCTGTGTGAAGCCGATGCCTGTGAAACAACAGGACCATGAATATTTGATCAAACTGTGGGGATACATCCGCATCCAGCAACATACCCTGGATGTCTGACACTATTCAAATGGATATTTGAGGTGGTTATCTTATGCATCTCTGCACAAAGACACAATATGGGCTCCCTCCTCACCCCTCCATACCTCTAGAGCTCTCTCTTTCTCTTCTCCCGCTGCATCTCCTCTTGCCCGTTTTGAAGTTCACAGTAAATTGCAGCTTCATTAATCCGCTGCCTGCAGCATTGAGGTTGGGCATCCTCTCCCCCTTTTTCTGTCTTTACGACCATCATCTGGACACCACATGTCTCCCCAGAGCTCACCTTCACGCCCCGCCACTCCCTCCATCGCTTCATCGAGGTCCATTTAAGCTGATTTTGATACTAAAGCTATTTGGTTTGTTTACTGCAGCAATCCCGCAGTTAAATGTTCTAATGTGTTGGTCATATCTGCATCTCCATCCCCTACAGTAATGTGATCATCAAGCCACTTCATCACTCTCTCTGGCTCTCTCTCCCTCACACTTTTTTTTTTTTCGGGTTATCCACTGCAGGAGTGTGTCAGGTAACAGGGAAAGTGTCCCACATCTGGCCTTAAACACAGAGGCTTGTCTCAGACACTGGCCCTTTTAGGTAAACACAGGTCTGAACTGATCCGGCAGGCCAGTGTCAGCTGACTGTTGATTAAATAAACAATCTAATATCGTTGCCAATAATGAATGGGTGCTGCATGTAATTAAGAAGCAAGAAACCCTCTTTCAGACCAGAGCGCAGATGCCTTTAAAACATAATAACTCTGCCAGTGTGTGTGTGTGTGTGTGTGTGTGTGTCTGAGGCTGACGTGGTTGCAGGCCTCTTGATGACCTTGCAGGGCACTGAGGAAAGAGGAGGGGTTGGTTGGTTGGACGGCTGGAGAGATGGAGGTGAAAGGGAAATTCCTCATGACTCTCAGGGTCAACAACAAGTAGCCAGCACCGGTGGGCTTGCACTGAAGTGTAATATTCAGTATTCATATTCAACTCTGGGAAAATATATTCATCATGGTCAGATATAAAGGGAAGCCAGTGTTCACTGTTGGTAGGAGACAGAATGAGAGGAGCCGCCAGCGCTGCATTGCAATTCACTACCCTGACCCAAGTCTCCCATAAGGTGTAGTATGGGAAACAGAGACAGGACTCCCAGATGGGAGTCATTCATTACAAAACAAAAGCTTTTCAGTCGGCACATAGGCAAAAAAATTTGCGTTTTTGTGTATGCAGCTATGCAGCCATTTGGTATGATGGGGGAAAAGGTGTCTGAAGGTATGAGATCAGGTTAACACTGATGCATTGTAATCTCATGGGATGGCATATTTGTTTTTAAATTGTAATATCTCCAATCTACCTTCTTTACCTGCAGTTCTGGGCCTTTTTTTTTTGCAAACTCCCTGGTTAGAAGCTCAGTCATCGTAAGAGCAAGCCTCTTCTAGTTAACTTCCATTCGCTCTGGAATATTAGCTGGCTGCCAAGTCTTTTTCTTTTTACCAAAACTCTAAATATTGGTTCCAAAACACGTTGAGCTTGTTGCTCTTTTTCCCCTCCAGGTCAATGAGTATTTAACTGTTTTAATGAAACAAATGGACACAAGCTAACTATTTACACTCTAAACACCCAAAAGAAAATCAGTCATGCAGTCGAGGTGATGAAGGAACAGAGAGTTGTTGGGAAAGAGAGAGGAAATGAGGGGGGGGTGAGCACAGTGGTTAAGCAGTGAAATTGATGACACACACACAGACAGATGGATGCTGCTAAAATTATATTTCCTCTATGAAAACATGGGCACCAGACTTTCTCATGAATACTCTGTTCATGAGAACATTGCTCTGAACACTTTCCCTCACCGATGAACAGTTTCATCCTCCCAATCTTTCTCTTCACTTCTCCAATATTTCTCGTTCCCCATCCAGGCCTCTCCCTCTCCAGATGAGAGTGCTCGTACCAAGATGCCATTGTGTTTAAAGTGTTCGCTAATTCTATTATCGCTGTGCTGCCAAGCTCTGACAATAATGCTGGAAGTGAGCTGGTGCACATGGGGCATCTGAGCAGGAATTCACTACAGTCTCTAGACAGGCACAGACATTTTCACTCCAGGAGGGAGAGACAGAGAGAGAGACAGAGAGAGAGATCTATATAAAAAAGGCTCAGGAATTAGAAAGTCAATTATCTTTGTTTACTGAAACTTGATTGAACAGATATGTCGGGTCGACAGAGAAAACTTTCCCACGAATACCTTCTTGCTACAGGGCCGAGAGGATTGGGCTGCACTGTTGGCAGGTACACCGTCGTCAGCTGCACCTCAGCTCTACAGAGAGATTTGCGGCTCAGTGAAAGGCTGGCAAAGATTAGGCTCTGAAGTCACTGTTTGAAAAATGGACATTGGGCCACTGAGTAAT